AAAGAGTGTGTGGTCATGCCCAGCAGAGGCAAGGTCCTTTTCTGGCACCAAAACACCATCAAATATTGAGTTCTTAAATAGTGAACTGGACACATGCCAGGCTGGCAGCAGCAGCTACTAAACTTTGACTAGTCCTAGTCTTAATCTGAGAATAATCAAGGCTTCAGGACTCCATAGATGCTAGAAACCTAAATTTCTCAACCTGCAGGTCTAAAACTGCTTCCTTTCTAGACAGAAGACATCTGGTTTGGGGCTTGGAGGAGCGGGGTGAGAGCAAGAACAGGAATGTGTTGGTTTTTTCCCCCCTCACTTGTTTTGAATATATACTAGAGTTGACATTTATACTCCTAAAATATAATTTAGTTTTCAGTCTATTTTAAACACTGATGGGAAGAAAGTATCCTTGTACCTTAAAATACTATCACTATCCAGTATCTAAAAAAAATAAATAAAAAATGCTTGATTAAACCTGTACGACAGAAATTCATTTCAAAAGGTGAGAGGAAAGAAACATCAGGCATAATTTCAAACACTTGTGTCCTGAAAGTAACGTTTAAAGTTCTAGGAAAGGACTGTTAGTGAATTTATTTATTATTGCTGAAGAACTGATCAGCTTCACATGAGAACACTCCTACAGAGGCACTGTAAAAATTCTATGACACAGCTTAAACAAAATACATTAACGATATCTGATAAATAAGAAAGAGAAGCTGATTTTTATCAGCTGATCCTGATAAAAATTTAAGCACCATCTATCACAGGCTGAGTATATGCTAAGTGTTGGGTGTTGGATAAAAGTATTATGTCAGTAATATGGCCAGAAAAGATTGATTTTCTAGAATGCCAGCCCAGCTTAACAGCTTAACCCCAGGGAGCTCATTCTGTTAAGGATGAGAATACTTGCATATATGAAATTTGAACATAGTCACAACAGCTGGAAAAATAAAGTAACATGAAATGTATCTAAAGAATTTACTATAGCTGACAATAAAGGAAGACCAGATTTTTACCCTGTCTAGTTCCAGTGTAAATTTCTGATCCCAGGACTGATTGGAAATAGGCTTCCAGCTAGTTTGACCAACCACGGTGTTATCCAGCTTCAGTACAGCGCAGACTTCATCTGTAAGAGAAGTACACAAACTCAGAGTAAATCTTTAATAGGATTATTCTAAAACCAAAAAATCTTTAGTAAGTTTCCCTTAAAAATATAATCTCATATTGAATTGGTTATTATGGGCATAACAGCACGGTTGAGATTTTGTTGTTTTCATTATTTTTTAAACAACTTGACAGAGAAAGATGTTTAGAACTTAGAATCAATTTAGTATTTTAAATTAACAGAACATGGCATGCACGTTAAATTGTAAATAAAATAAATGCATAAAAATAAAAGAAGGATACTGAACTGGACAAGTCATCAGTTTTCAGAAGGTTTCTATTAGTCCCACTTTTACTTTTACTGGTTCTGTTAATGAAAGATGATCTGGTTTCATTTGGACTCCAACCAGGTAGTGTAATCGATGTGGCTTTTGATCGACCAGGGACATTTTCCAAAATATCTTGGCAACCCATTAGCCTAACTTCCAGGGTACCTAGAACAAGACAGACAATCATTTAGCAAAGATTTCTGGTTTTAAGCAAACAAAGTGAATGACTAATGATTGATTTATGGCAAAAGCTCATATTCTGATCATCACAGGGTATAACAGAAATACCAGATGAAATCAAGACACGTATCTACAACAGACAAATATATTGAAAATAAGCACTGAAAATAAAGTATGTGGGACATAATCTTCTAGAAGGAGCAACAGTTCACCAAAATAACACAAAATTTTTGTTCTGTGTCTCTGCAGTACCTTTGTTTTCTTTGCTGAAGAACAATGAGCCAGTAACAATTTTTCATGAGTTTTATATAACCGATTACTATGGGATAGATGGGTTTTGTAATTAAAACATTGACTATCTAGACTACAAATTTTTTAAGATACATTCAGAAATCACATTTGCATGCTGCATGCTAGAATCAAATTTGAGTTGGTACATAATTCAAAATAATTGAATTCTTCCAACTTGAATGAATTTGGATTTATAAAAGCTGAGACAAGCTACTCTTCAAGATCTTCTACATCCTTAACCACATGAGGTGTAGAGGCTGCTGTTGTAATTTAAAAGTATTTCCTCCAGCAGCACAGAAACATCTGAATACCACAGAAGGCTACAAGAAGGGTAGGCTTACCTCATCCTGTATAAGACAGCATCTATCAAACTGTGACACCGCTGACTCCAACAAAATTAACTGTTAGAAGCAGTGAAATTAGCCAGTTCATAACCATACTACCAGCTAGAAATGTAGCTCCTAAATGCTGTGTTCTTTGGACCACAAATGTACTTAACTGTGAAACTTAAAAGTACTCTTCTGTAACAGAAACTTGTCAGACTTGACCTAAAAATGGCCTGGCAACATTACAGCCCACAGAACAGGAACTGAGAAAACAGTCTGAGAAGTAATCACATCCTGTAGGGAACAAACAGCCATAAGTGACAGCTAAGCATTAGGCTATGAAGACAAAGGATGCCACTGGCTCGCAAAAAGGTTAAAGGGTGACAGAATTGTTCATTCCCTAAAGTCTTGTTTATGGAAAAAAAAATAAATATAAAAAAAATCAATAAGCAGAAAGGCTGTAATCTTGTGTAAGGACTGGATGGGTATCAGCAAGTTCTGCTGATGCACTTTAAAAAGTATGACAGTTGCACTGATCTATTTTTCACAAAGTGTTAGAGGCAAAACACAAAGACACCGTTCATTTAAACCTAGTTCAATACAGAAGCTCTTTGTGTAGCTAATACGAAAGTGAAACTGTTAAGAACTTAACAAGCATGTAGCTCTGTTTTGATATTTCCTTTTAGAAGCTGTTCATATGTACCAGTAAATCACATTTTAAGATTAATTATTTGTCACTATAACATATCTGACCCATAATTGTGAATTACAGGGAAAGAAAAAGAATATTAAAAGCTGTTTTTAAAGCAAGGCATGATACTTCTTTGTCCACTGTCACTGATCATCTGAGATTCCATACAATGAAAAAAGTTCCCCTCACCACTCTGATCAGTCTTGATGCATTTTACCCTTTGCTACTTCGTTTTACTGAACAAAAATGGAAGACAAGTAGACTCCCTCCATTTTATTATTATTGCAGCTTGGCAGAAGAGTTCCTCTTTCTGTTTAAAGACATAACCCCAGTGTACTTCAGAACTAAATTCTGGTTTCAGTTATAGATGTATAACTAGAGTAACATCTGAATTACTGATTGTTTTATTATAAACTTACTCTGTTAGTAGTTGGTTTAAGAGCTACATGTAAAAAAAAGCTATAGAAAACAAAATTTAAAAACCCTATCTATACTAGTAATTATTACACGACTGTTTATTCAGCAAATTTAGTAAAGCACCATACCACCAAGTAATCAAAAATATTTGCTTTTCTTTAAGAAGACTGAGAGGCAAATGTTTAAGAGCTTTGTTAAAGTATGGCTCATCTCTTGAAACAGTTTACTTGCAATGAAGGACAACAATTCCAGGTGAACCCAAACTATGACAAGTCTTATATTTTTATATAAATGTACTGTTCCCTCACAGTAGGCTAGGTCTCTAAAAAAATTTAAAATCTGAATGTTTAATTGCAAGGAAAACAATTTGCACCAATAAACAGAGGCTTCACTAGTTCCACACGTTTGTTAGGATCTCCCTCTTTGGTTTATAAATACAAGGAATGTTTTTGTAGCATAAATCTCACTGGAAGAAAAGCTGTGTGCCTATCTCCAGGTCTGCCACTGACTCTGGTATATCAAGGTTATGTCACTTACACCTTCCTGCACCTTGGTCTCCCTGTCTGTAAAATTGGGACAGTGATACTTGCCCACCTTTTAAAGTACCTGATCATCTAAAGATGAGAGGCATTGGGCACATGCCAGCAATATAATTCCACAGTGCCCTAACAGAAAGCCAGAACCTCACTTTTTCAACAGGATTATGAAAAGATTGACAAGATAAAGAAACTTATCTGCATTTTTTTTTGTGCATGGACACTTGGAAATTCTAAATGCCCTTGTCTAGGAAAAGAAAAACAATGAAATATGTCCAGAAAGACTTGGCATTAAAGACTTGTTCTAAGGCATTTACTAAAAAGTAAAACTCCATGAATCATACCTGTTAAAGCTGCTGGTTTGGACAGTGTACTATACTGGTTTTGATTAGATATTACACTTTGACGAGGACTTAATGTGGGTGAAGAGACCAGTGATAGCTCCTCTATAATAATACTGCTTTTGGGATGGTTTTTAGGAAGTTCATTCAGTCTCTGTTCCAGCGAATACTTCAAGAGGTCCAGCTTCTGGCTTGATTCATTAAATCTTGCTTGTGCCTTTTAAAAATAATAATAAAAAAGGAAATATTTAATATTCTTTCTTTCTTGAAAGAACATTTAAAATAAAGTATCAGAAATGGTAATTACTTCTGAAAGTGCCTTTCTGTCGGTAACTTTCCCAGATCCAAGTAATTTCATCACGTTTTTTGCACCTTCTGCTACAGCATACTCTATCCTGAAATGGTGCCGTAGCTCTTCCATTCGGAGCTCAAGAGGGCTTATCACAGGTTTTGCTGCAAAGAGATAGAAACAAACAATTTCCATTGAAGACCAGGCTCATGTTTAATTTCTTTAATATTAAGACCTCCCCTGTATAAATAGAGGGGAGGGGAAAAAAAAAATAAAAATAAAATGAGAGGTGCATATTTCATAGTCCAAAGAAAAGCTTGAAGTGTGTCACAAAAGCAACAGTGAAAGTTTAAGGATCTGCATTTGAAGGAAGAAATAACTGATAAGAGCCTCAATCCAATAAACAGGTCCTGCTCCTCAAAGAGCTATAATTACAAGAGAACGTGATTAAAACAACATGCCTTCAGGGAAGTCCCACCACACTCCACAAAACAAAACACAACACACACACAAGTTTTTCATTATCTAGCAGATAATCCAGGCCTTGATTATGAGCATCATCATACAGTTTCAATACTTAAAAATGCACACAAATAAAGTCAAAGACTTAGAGATGTACCAATATGCCCATTATTTTGTAGTACACTCATGCTATTACAGATTGGGGGTAATTTTTAAAATTTATTTAAAGATTTCTGAAGAAATGGAAGTTTAAAACTACTTCTGAAATGCAACATGAGTGTTTTGAGTCAGGTGGTTTTAAAAACTTTTTTTTTCATTTTTAAAATAGTTGTTTACTACTTAATCTAGCCTGAATACTCACAACAACAAAAAATTGCCTCCATTTTTGCTCCCATTAGTAACAATAAGATCAACCTATTACAGTATGACAAACAGGCTTTGTACCTGCACCAGATATATATATATACACTTTTTTTTTTAGAATAGTGAAAAGCTTATATGCTTTAAAGAAAGTTTCTAATTCAAGATAAAAAAAAGCACACAAGAAGAGAGAATGAAGACCACAAAGCAAAAATGGACTGTGTAACTCATAAAAAAGATGAAGAGAGACTGCATTTCTCTTCATTGAGCTTAAGGTATTTTGCTTCAAGTCAGATGTACTTGGCATGCTAACACACACAACAGTGTGCCTAGTCTCCAATTATTTTCAGTTCATGCAAGTTTTGTCTAACATTCCTACTTATGAATGTGAAATTTATGGTTAACTTTGTGTGCATATGGGTACACATCTACATGGCATTAAGGATTCATATTTTCTTTCTACTCCCTCACCATTATCAAAAGCCAATTCATTCGTCTGGACTGCCTGAAGAATCTGCATCCTTATAACTTCAATTTTTGTCTTGCTATCCTGGAGCATCTGCTGAGCTGTAGCAAGAAGTTTTCGATCCTATTAACACAAACAAAAAAGTTAAAATCATAAACTCTTCAGGGAACAAAATGCATTGAAATCTTCAAAGGCCACATGGGTTAGGAACTAGAACTAAATCCATGTAGTTCATTTGGTACAGCACACCCTTTCAAGTAACCACACTAGGATATTAATGGAAATTAAGTTAGGATAAAGGCATAGTCTGGTTAACACTACAAGCCACTCCCATGGAAACTGTATTTGTTTAAAACTCAATACAGGAGGCATGATCTAGCAACATTACATCTGTAGATTAGCATCTTGTAAGCTGATACTAAAGAAAGAACAACATACTAAATGCAAAATCCCTCCACCCTATGTAGAATGATTCAAATTTACTGTATGATGAGAACTTTCAATTTCAATAGACCAACTTGCTAGACTAAAGCCATATGAAAATCATTGTGCCAATTCACTTGAGCTGATTTTCTATCTTGACTTTAAAAATATGAAGTTAGCTTACATAGCACATTATAAATAAATCTGCAGTATGTTTTTCTGAACAAATCAAAGCTAAAGACTTTTTAAATCCATAAATACATAATAGATGAGGGTTACTTCATCAGCAACTTCATCAGCAACTTATAAGTACAGTACTTTTCATTTAAGTAAACTAAGCTAGCCAATTTCTGTTTTCAAAAGCAGGAACAGTAGAAGCATTTTAGAGAAAACATTTCTGAATATGATCTTTCAAACTAATTGATAAGACCATTTCACTGTCAGGAGCACAGACAGCCATCCACACATTTCTCAGGTATACCATTTTGTGTCCTCCATCTACTAGAGATCTGTCTTACAATGGATTATCTAATGGTTCTTTGATGTGGAACTCTGCATGTGCTCCTATGGCTGCAGCATGGCTCTCTCCATGTGTTCAAGGAATTATCAGGTAAAAAGGTGATCTGACTTGCAAGAAGAACAAAAAAGGGGTAGGAGAATATTTAAGGCAGTCTATTTGTCCTTTCTGTACAGTGCCAATAAATCACAGTAATTAATAGTAGTCAGCACAGATGAGCATCACACTTGTTATAGCCCAAAGGGTATTTTGGTTAATTCATTCTGTAGCTGCTTTATAACGTCATTAATAAGTTACTTTCCCATAGACATGGTTTATACTTATATTTTTAATTTTATAATTAAGTTATCAATTATTTAAGAAGTTAAAGAAATTCAATTCTTTCCCTTGCCACAACTAAGACAAGGAATGGCAGTGTAGCACAGATACCCAGAGCTAGAAATACAGGAACCATGAAGTATATTTTGAGAAAGATCAGTATATGGAGGAGAGAGAAATTTACCTTCAGAGAGCCACCAGGACCTTGTGCCTCAGATATTTTAATGCTACCCCATGTTTTGCAGGGTAGATACACTGAGATACACACATGAAAAGGCTTTGGCTACATGCAGAGGAATTGTGCCCAGTCTGCAGACCGTGAGTCTCAGAACACTTGGGTTTAAGTTCTAGTATAGATCAACATTTCAGAGAGATACCACCAGTTTTCATATTTTAAGATTTCATGTTAACTATCCAGTTATTTAATAACTACATGGAATTTCCTAAATTAACACCTCTCAAATACAAATGTCCTATTTTGAAATAACCACTGTCTACAGCAGAGTATACAATCAAAGTAACAGATTACAAGCAACTCTAGAATCCTGTATTAAACCTTAGTCATGCAGCACTCTGGTATATAAATATGCTGTGTTTCTTTGTCTGTATCTTCACTTTTATCTTGTTTTTGATCTTGTTGCACTTGATTGTCCCTCATATCCTCTTATGCAATGGATTTGCTAGCTCAGGGGGAACATGAGCCCTTCAATGTGTAAGTAATTCAGGATTATAGAGATATCCTTATTTTTTTAAGAGACAGCAAATCCCATCTTCAGAATCAAAATGGGTCTGTTATACTCAGCAGCTCCCTCAGTGATGGAGGCTGAATACAAAGTATTTTAAGGCATCTCCCGAATATGGAAAAACGGACAGTGCTTGTAAAACTGATCTGCAAAGCTGTCGTGAGATCTCAGAGAATTCACACAAGTCCAAGGAAAGATCATCACTATTTCAGAAACACGTAAGTCCAAATGAGTTAAATGCTACTGAAGCAAGCAGAGTAAATACAAAGAAAACTTTCAAAGGAGATGATGAGTTTATTACAATTAACAGACTGCTTTTTTCCCTTGTAAGAAACAAATTATTATCTCCCTTAATTAAGTTTAGGTCTGAAAATACAACAAATGTGAAATTGGATCATACAGTATACCTGAAAAAAGGTCACAAAATAGTTTAATATATTTTAAAGAGGGCCTTGCAACTAGTTTTTAAGAATTACTGGATTACCAGAGTTAAGATTCAAACTGGGAATTTTTTGCCCCTTTTGCCCGCTTCGTATAGACACTGGAGTTGTTTTAAGCTCTGCCCTCTAAAACATAATCACCATGCTCAAGCCTACAGTTAAACCTTGCCAAATCAACTCACTACTGAGTATTAAGAACATGAGAGAATGAATACGCACCATTTCTGTCCTGTTTGTTGAAGCAGCTGGCAATGTTTTTGTGTTTTCTAGCTTGCTCTCCCCAGCTCAGTTAATATATATACCCAATCTGGTAGGCATATTTAAGGATTTACCAATTGCAAATAAAAGATTCAATCATAAATTTTAATTACATGTCTCTATCATATAGCAAACCAAAATTTATCCTATCTACCTAGCCTGATCAAAGCCTGCTAGCAATGTCTAATATTATAGTCTGAGTGTTTAGTTAAGATTTTTCAGGCTGTTATAAGGTTACTTACAAGGTACATAATTAATATAAGCCTTTTGATGCATTTGGGTCACCTGGTTATTATTTTTAAGTGTACCTGATGTTAAGTACATGGTCCCAGAGGATGCAGACTCCAGGGTTCCCAGGAGCTGAGGGACTGTGGTGCATGGACAGCATTCCCAGGCCCTTAGTCATGAAGTACACTCCAGATATTTCTTCCACCTGCCCCAGGCTAGTAGGTTACAGGTCAACTTAAGAAATGGCTACCAAAGCACCAGCTGGTTCAACAGAAGTGCTGCTAGGACAGAATGAGCTGAGGGCAGCTATGGTCCATCTAGTCTAAACTAATTTTTCTAGGAGCGAGCAGCTTTCCCTCTAATTTTTGCAAGTTGTAAGAAATTCATACAGTAGGCACATAAAACTTAATCTGCCTCTCTACCAGTCCCTAGCAGAAATTCACTCAGAAACATCAAGTTCCTTTCCAATGCTTTCTGGTTAGAATCAATTATAAGGGGTAGCAACACAATTCACAGATGTCTGCTCTTCAAGTCAAACACTTCTTTTTCAGAAGTGTACTCACCTAGCCATGTGCTAAATCAGTGAGTTAAGAACTTAAAACACTTCAATTTTCATTTACTATTGTCAGGATACATAAACATCCAACCAAGCTACTACATACTATTTGTTAGATCTATGCTTGTGTTTCCCCTTAGTTTGGAAATTCACCTCCTTAATGATTTAGTAAAAGTAAATGGAAAGAACAGGTAATGAGTAACTAATGAAGGGTGAAGGGTTAGGTAACTAGAGGACTCCTCCTCCCCTCTGTCTCATTTGCAAGCTGAATCCCTTATAAAATATGCTTTGATTTTATTGGGGTTTTGTTGTTGTTGGGTTTTGTTTCTTTTGTGGTTTTGTGTTGTTTTTTTTTTCTCTTCATTTAAAAGGTATAGTTTGTCTTTCAGTTGTATTATGGGATTCTTAGTGTACAATGAATTTTATTACATAGCTAGGATTATGTAAGAAGTCAAACCCATCTAGGGGTTAGGAACCAGTCCTCATGCTCTCTCCTTGGAGAACTTCTGGAGCTATCAACACAGTGAGTGCAAGTAAGCGTGTGTTTAAAATTCAGATTTAGAAATAAGTGTGGCTTTATTTTTAATTTCAGTTTGATGCTATCAGATGCTACCTCTAGAAAACCACATTTATGTAAAAAAAAAAAGGCATGGTATTTTTATATGTATTTTATGTGCACGTGTACTAGTGCAGATTATAACAACTCCATCAGAACACTACATACATCTTATTAAAACAAATATTTGGTACAAATCTTTTTACTGCCAACTAAAATTAGGTGAACATTTCAGAAACATAATGGGCCACCTTTTGTGTAATTATCATGCACATTACAACTTTAAACTAATGGATTTACTTTTTTTTACTGGAGTTAGAAAAAGCATCAAACACCAGTCAGTGTCATACCAAGCTTTGTTGCTAAGTGAGTCACACACATTCAAAGATTACTAGATGTACTAAATTTAGTAAGGCAGATTTGTTACTTAGGTTGAACTGCATGTGGACAAATTGATAAAACAATCACTTGAGTGGGAATCAAAACCACAACAAAAATTGGTATAGTAATTTGTAAGATTTGAGATAACTACTAAACAAAAATATACCCCAAACTAAAAAAAAACAGTATGCAATTTCCATATTGTACTACAGCGATGTGAAAACCCACAATAATTTCATGTTCTAAGCATTCCAAAGCCTTACCTTCGAAGAGCCATTGGAGTACATTTGTATCATATTTTCTGCTCCCTGTTTTACCTTCAGTTCTATATCCAGCTGCTTCTTTAAGGCCATCAATCTGTTATTAGCAGAAAAACGAGGATCGCTATTTGGAGTATCAGGAGTCCGAGGACAATCTGTGAATTAAAGGTGAGATGTAATGTATGCAGAAAAGAAAAAAAACACACAAACTCCATAAAAAAAAAAAAGTATGAACTCCTCCTCCCAAAAACATCCTAAACTTTTCCATTCTATTAAGGCAGAAATTAAACAAAGATGGACCATCTTACTTGATACCTAAGACTGACCCTCCTGTCCAGAGCTGCTTTGCAGCAGCACTGCAAATGCGTCTTAGCATGAAAAGCCTGACGAAAGCAGAGTGACTCCTACACGTGTCCTGATTCACTTGAATCACTGCTGGGAGTGGCAAAATAGGCAGGTCTGCAGCTAGGTCTGCTTTCATTTCAATAGAGATATATTCCTTCTAGAATGTCTTGAGTCAATTACAAATACAGTTTTCTATTAAGCTTTGTTACATACCTGATTTTAAATCTAAGTGTTTTAAAAACAAACTTGGACAATAATACTTAATACTGAAGAGCATGATAGAAAAGCAGATACTAAGTATATCCTCATCAATTCTAGAGTGAATGCTGCAGACACAGTTTATGTCAATACTAAGAAGAGATAAAGTCGTAAGTGATTTTGCTCTGGAATCCTAACAGAATACTGGGATAATTGGATATAGAGGCAGACAGATTATTGAACAACTGATCTGCAGGAAGGATAAAGCTTTTTCGTTTGACAACATTACCATCTTTAGATCTTCCATCATGCTGGATTAATTTAATGGAATGCAAATTAGCTTTATCAATGAAGTTATACAGTCAAACTCCTTAACTTTTCTATCTTTGTACAGACAAATCTAACAATCATTTGTTCGTATTTCAGCTTCTGCAACATGAACCATTAGCAAACTGCAAGTAAATGGCCACTCGGCTATTTCTTAGTGCTTAAGCATTTCCAACACAACTGTCCTTTTAGCCACTAACAGACCAAATTATCTCCACTAACAGACCAAATGATTTCTCTTCCAAACTTTTGGTGAGACAATACATTATGTCTACTGTAACCATTTTCTTGTTGCTGTTGGTACCCTAACAACTGAGAGAATACCTTTGCTATGGGCCAATAACATTAGATGGTCTCTTGGAAGATCATATTTACATGATAACAACAGTACAGTCTTTTTTTCCAATCTTAATTAATTTTCCTTGAATTAAAACTGGATGACAGATCAAATTCTTGAAATCCTCAATTATTAGAAAACACAGACATTTCACTAGTAACTTACAAATTACTAATTATCAGGCGTCCTGAGAAAGAGGTGTCTTATCTGCCATTTCTTCCACAGAGGCTTCTGATAACTAGTTTTGGAGATTAAATGCATTTTACTTTCAAGTTTGCTGTCTAGTTTCCTCTTAAATTGCAATCTTTTATGAAGATACATACAGATTTCATGTAAGGAGAATTTTCATTTCCTCTGCTAATTCAGTCTTCACTTCAAGCCACTTTAAGACTCGTGCTGCATCCTCACTACTTAAAGACAGTACAGAAAATACCAGATATTTCAAAAAAAGAAGAAATAAATCTGTGCTATTCCTCATCTGTTTTGTCGTTCATCCTTTCCTCAATGTTTTGGCTTGATTCCTCTGTAAAACACTGCACTTTAACACCTTCAGCTTAAATCTGTTATTAATAAAATAAATATTAACAACATGCTTTCCTCTCACTTATGTCTTCACATTCAACTAATCCTCACCTAATAATCTACTAAAAAATTAGAACAAATGTGAAAGTTGAAAGTCACTATGTCAAGTCTCCCTGTAAGGTAGATTAATCGCATAAATGAATATTTACTAACTTCAGATTTATGCTGCAGGCCTTTGCCGCTTACACAATTCCAGCACTCTGATGATTCCGGGGAAGACTAGGATGCTCCTCAAGTCTGCTTTCACAGCTTTTAAAGATGCACACAAGCAGTCTTTCCTTTGCATTAAAATAACACTCAAGTTGCAAGTCAAGGACTAATTAAAGATACTAGGGTTCAGGTTGCCCAGGCAGCTGTTATTATCTCCCTTCATGCGTCTACACTGTGAAGGTGTAACCACATCACTTACCTAGGTCACATCACGAGTTGGTCTGCAGTTGTGGATTTAAACTCCTCTCTGCCATTTAGTGTAATGGTTCTACTGTATGTTAGCAACCAGCAGCAAAGGAAACTTTTCTGCAGTATGGACTAGTTGCTAAGAAGAAATTATTTTTTGCTTTTAGGCATAATAGCTGCTCAATAAACTCCAGGATACAGAACAATATAGCTTTTTAACACAGACTTGTTTTGGGGTTTTTTTTAAGAAAAAAAAATAATTTACCAATAGCTTTTTTGGAAATGGCTTCCAAGTGCCTCCTGCTCCCCCCAAATCCCACTACAATTCAGCAAGCAGCCTGAGGAAGCTTCTTATTGAAGAATTCAGATTAAAGTTTTGAGTCAGCCAGACAAACTGGTCCTACTATGGAAAGCGCAGACAAACTTAGCGGCAGCACTACAAGTACCATCTGTATTAGCTGTTTCACCTCTCCCTTTGCTATGTCTCGTGAGGTGGTAATCACTTTGGTATGGCTACTTATCTCTGATCTATTTGTGTAAAACACTACATAGACTGGACACATTTAATCACCTTCACAATACAAGTAAGTAAGACATTCTTCCAGATAATTGCAATCAATGAGATTTATGTATATGCTTAAGTTAAACCACAGTTAAGAACTCGTACCAAATGGATATTTCACTCAAGTAGGTAAGTAGGGACTGAGGAAAATAGATTCTCCAGTTTGCCACATTTGCTGGTCAATAAGGACAATAAGGATTTGCCATTTTTGGCAAAGTCTGACTTTGCATAGGACAGCAAGAGCTTTGCTGGGGTATGGATTAGTACCCCAAGGCATTTCCTTCTTGACAGTGACTATCAAGTGAAGTTACAAATGTATTTCATGTGAACTTGACTTCAAGTAACTAGCATGTTATTTGTCCTGAAAAAATATGAATGTTGTTGCTTAATAAGTTTTGTGTGGCTTGTTAGCACACATCCAGCCTGCTGGAAGAGCTGCAGTACTTCTGCCCCACCACCTGCAATATCCTGTTTTCAGGAAAATATATTCACAAGACTTAAAATAAGTTAATAGTGAGGGGGTTTTTTTTTAGTTATTTTTTTAACTGTCTGGACAACGGCAGTTTTCATTCCAAAATGTTTACCTTAATAATGATCTTTGCTCTTCTGAAAACCTTTCCACTTTGCATAGTCCTCACCAGCAAGCACTTCTTGCTTCTCAATTGCCTTTTACCAGAACTCTCGTCTAAATATTATTTATTTGAGTAGTGACACAACTCTACTCCTCTGAGACTGCTGCTCATTCCTTTAGGGAATGATGGTAGGTATGCTAGCTCTTTATTAGCCTCAGCGTGAAATCTAAGATCCCATGTAACTTTTTGAACTTGGGTTCCCAGATGGTACTGCAGCATGGTCCTAAGCTACTCAATTAGCAGCAAGTGCCCTTTGGTAAATAGTTAATTTTAATCTTATTTGAGGATATTTAATTGTAGTTAGCCTCATCAGTGTCACATCCACAGAAATACCTGTGGTGGATGGAGAAGTGAGAAAGAAAGGCGCATCATCAGGCTTTTCTCTGGGAGTCAGATGGTTGCATCAGCACTTGAACTAAGCCATTAGTAAGTCCAAGGCAGCAGTGGATATTCGGCACTCAGAGAACATTCAGCACTGACCTCCAGGAAACTTCTGAAGTTTAACTGAATTTCAGTTGAGTAATGGCTAATTTTAACTACCAAATGTGTACCCTTTACTAAGGGTTAATCATGTCTGACAAATTTGGTGGGCTTTTATAATGGAATTACAGCACTGGTGGATAAGGGAAGAGTAAACTATGTCATCTACCTGGACTTGTGTAAAGTGTTCAGTGGATAAGAAATTGTCTGGATGGTCACACTCAAAATGTTGCAGTTAATGTCTCAAAGTCTATGTTGAGATCAGTGATGAGTGGTGTTCCTCAGAGGTTGGTATTGGGTCAGTTGCTGTTTACCATTTTTGTCAATGAGATGGACAGTGGCATTGAGTGCACCCTCAGGAGGTTTGTGACAACATCAAGCTGTGTGGTGCAGTCAACACACTGGAGGGAAGGGATGCCATCCAGAAGGACCTTGAAAGGCTTGGGGAATGGACCTGTGCAAACTGCATAAAGTTCAATACAGCCAAGTTCAAGGTCCTGCAGCAGGGTTGGAGCAATCCCAAGAACAAATAAAGCCTAGGCAGAGAATGGATAGAGAGCAGCACTGAGGAGAAGGACTTGGGGCTGTTGGTTGATTAAAAGCTCAACAAGAGCTGGCAATGTGTGCTGGCAGCCCAGAGAGCCAACAGTGTTCTGGGCTGCATCAAAAGAAGTGTAGCTGGCAGGTTGAGGAAGGCAATTCTTGCCCTCTACTCCACCATTGTGAGATCCCACTTGGAGTACTGTGTTCAGACATTCAATGTAAAACAGAGATGGGCCTGCTGAAGTGAATCCAGAGCAGGGACACAAAGATGATCAGAAGGCTGGTGTACCTCTCCTATAAAGACAGGTTGAGAGTCTTGGGGTTGTTCAGCCTGGAAAAAGAGAAGGATACAGGAGACCCTGTAGCATCCTTTCAGTGCCTGAGGGGAGCCTACGGGAAAGCTGGAGGGGGACTTTGTACAAGGAGATGCAGTGATAAGAGAAGGGGAGCAGTTTTAAGCTGAAAGAGTACAGATTTAGATTAGATGTTAGGAATAAATCTTTTCCTGTAAGGGTAGCAAGACACTGGAACAGGTTGCCCAGGGAAGCTGTGGATGCCCCACCCCTGGCAGTATTCAAGGTCAGGCTGGATGGGGCTTTAACCAGCCTGATCTAGTGGAATGTGTCCATACCCATGGCAAAGGAGTTGGAACTAGTTGCTCTTTAAGGTCCCTTTCAAGCCAAATAATTTTGTGTTTCTAAGTGGCAGGAGACTGCTTCAAATTGCTTCAATAACGTTATTCTACATGAAGGTTCCCAAAAGTTACCATGAAATTCCTATGAATATGAGGGACAAATAAATAAATAAATAAATAAAAAAACCCCATTTCTTCTCACTCTCCTGTCAGCTAGCCATACTCTTAAACAGAAGTTTATTTTCTTTGTGACCCCTACAATCAAATTTCATGCAAAGTGAAGAGCTAAGAAGATAGTGAGGAGAATGGAAGAAGTGTGAACTTCAGTCTTTTTGATTTTATGTTCTCCATGTTTTATCCAGTCTTCTCAATTCCTTCAAAGGTTTTTCTATCATTTCATCTACCTATCCACCTTTACTTCAGCTATATGGAAAAAATTAATTTGTCAATTATACACAGCCTCTGTATCAACTATATGCCTAATTAAATCAGTGACTTGCTGTAGGTAAGCTATTTTAATCTTACACCTCACAGAGTCACATTAAAAACCACAATCTCTACTGCTAGTTTTTAGACACATGAAAAGAGTGTTAATTTAATCTGTGCTACTGAAGTATGTTTTCAAGATACAAAATTTCTTTGTCTCCAAGACTGACGTGATCATCCCCACATTACACATGAAAATAAATCTCTCTTTCAGCAGCAATGGCCACTAGGCTTGTTCTGCTCATTTTGCCTTGCTGCACTCTGCCTCACTTTTAAGTGCTCACCTACAAATTTTTAAACTCTGCATCCTAGTATGACTAATACAGTTCACAATAAGGGCAGACCTGGGTACAAAGTCTCACTTCTAAAACAAATCTAGATTCACCAGGAACCCTATATTGTAAAGTAAACCTATGATAGGCTAAAAGTTGTTTGTGAATCATACATCCACTGCCAAATTCACCCTCACACTCAGTAACACAGCTTTTTGGCCAATGGCACTTTTTGGTTAAAGTTTAATACCGATTTTTAAATAGTTGTGCAAATAATTTCCTATGGCATAAGAACATGGAAAGCTTTCAGCTCTAGGCAAACTACCATCAAAACATCTTTTAATGTAGAATGTTATTAAATTTTTCTACAGTAGATTAATTAACACCACATGTAAGAGTTTTAACATGTATCGATTATGCTGTGCTGATTACAAAGTTACACCACAAATTAGTGATTTGTTAAAAAAGTAACCTAAGTTACTGCTTGATACCACAAGCAACAGAAAGAGTCTTGATAGCTTGCATGGCACTTGTCAGTTCTAAATCTGGAGCACTTTACTAATACATGTTCACACCCACTTTTTAGATACAGTAACAAGGAAAGATTAAATAACTTTTCAAATTTACAAAAATAACCTTTCAACCAATCAACAGAAATGGTCCAAAAACCTTCAGCGTTCAAGCCTGACAGGTCAAAGGGATCATCATCTCATAGGCAATGATTGTCTCAGTGTTACTTATCAATGGATCTCAGTCCTGACTTTGCTACTTAGAACCTGGAAAAACCTACACAATATACTCTAGAAAACAGGGAAAATGTATCACCACCTCCAAAAAATATTTAAGTACAAAGAGAACACTGACCTTGACTCCCACAGCTCTTGAACCATATTCACCATTGATTTGCAGCATTCATACCCTGCACAGTCTAACAATTTCCCATGTATTTCCTTCTTTCTTTTAAATTACCTGTCATTAACTGACAGAAAAAGGTCAAACATGAGCTGAAGTGAAAAGCTGTAATTTTGAAAAATACTCACCTCTGAAAGCAAAACGTTTATTCAAGGAGCTCCCACATTCATCAGTAAATGGTTATTAAATGCTTAATTGCCAATCCTGAGCAAAAGCAAGAAATTCCAAACTGAGATACCTGTGACATCTCCACAGAGGTATCCTGCCAGGTGGCAGTGATCTCTAAGGTTATGTGTCTATGTATTTGCTGACTATTCTGTATGTGTATATGTGTGCGTGTGTGTATACACACACACACACACACACACACACACACCTGGAAGTGGGAAGATTAAGTTTAGACATTAGTAAGAAATGTGTTAGTGTGAGGCTGGTGAGACGCTGGAACAGGTTGCCCAAGGAAGTTGTGGATGCCCCTTTCCTGGAAGTGTTCAAGGCCAGGCTAGATGGGGCTTTGAGCAATCTGATCAAGTGGAAGGTGTCCCTGTCTGTGCAGGAGCATTGGAACTAGATGATCTTTACGGTCCCTTCCAACCCAAACCATTCTGTGATCCTATGATACATATACACCCACTCACACAGAAATGCTCACACAGTTAGCACGTCTAATTTTTGTATTACCAACCTTATTTTGCAAAAGCCAAGGTCACTAACACCTTAAGTCAGATCTCAGTATCTCAATCTTCAGTATTAAAAATCAGAATATCATCCAGGTGACTTACACCCATTAATTTAAAGACAGACAGAACATTTACTGATAGCTCTCCCTCAGCCATGAATAAGTGACCATGAATGAGGAAGAAGACAGACAAGTAAAAGGCAACCAATATAAAAAACTCAAGAATTTTAATATCTGATAGTGGGTCCATATAGATCCTTTATCTAAAAGGAGATATTAAATGAATTAAAGACTACTTTTTGGGTTTTAGATTATACAACATATTCTATTAAAATGAGTATTATATAGGAATACTTTATATTCTCTGTAGAGTATCATATAACGATCTCAAGTCAATTAGTTAGTTTTTACTTGCATATTTCAATAATCCAGCAAGACTGTATCTACCAATAACACTTTTAAAGCAATGAAAGCTAAAAATGTAGTACTAAAAAGTTTAGCATGCATCAAAAGCAGGTAGAAGCGTATAAGTTTATTAACCTTGATCTTTTGTCCCTTGAGCCTTTCATGAAGTCTCTGGCATCTGAACACAAGGCGAGAAGAGCCTGGCTGCTAACAGTTATTCACAAATGCTATGGGCACTGCTGGCCTTTTTAGAAGTGCACTAAGGATACAAACAACATGATTTAGATCTTTATACCTAAACCATCTCTTTAGAACTAGTAAATACTTTCATAGGGTCTCCTGCATTTCCTGAATAATGCACAAGGATAATATTGCTCATTAACTCACTGTGATAGTTTTAAAACACTACACTGGAAGGGGGCATTCCAACAAGAGCATTCTGTGCTCATTCACTTTTCAAGTTCCACTACTAAATGAACTTCAGAAATTTATATCCTCACAAATTTTTTATATTCAGTCTACAACAGTTTGCATGCAGTTTTCTTTTTCCTATCTCTTTACAAGCCACACAGCTGTCAACACTGATGAGGATTTTCATAAACCTTAGCTGATCTGGAGCAGAATGCTTTATGCCTACTAAAATCCAATGGCTTTTGATGAATCACAAATTATTGTATCCATTCACATTTTGTGCTGCATCAACTGCTTTGCCTCACTGGTTCCAGCTGTTCCTCCTCTCTGCTCCTTGTATCTCATGAAGACCAAAAGCAAAAAATATACAAAGAATCAGAGAAGACTATGCAGGCCAACACTTCTGCAGCATGCCACAGGGGCAGATAGTACGTATTACTGACATAAAACAGCACTTTCCTAAATTCTCACTGTAACCAACCTTTCTTCACAAGGATGATACAGTCTTTTATTCTACTGCCTAAGATTCTTAAGGCAAACACTTTCAATGGCTTGTGCACATTTATTAACTTTTTGCCAAGAAGAGTCTATGCTATGTGAAATAACCAGACTGGCATTATCTCCCAACCCATTCCACAAAACTGAAAAAGGACTGTTTACTTTTACAACATTCCATCTTAAAACACCAAGCCTGGTATTTTTAAAAAATACATTCAAAACTAGTACTGACTCACTGCCATGCCGCAGAAAATACTAATTAACACCATTAATTACAACCACTCTCTGATACTGTGAAAACAATTTCAAATTGTCTTTAAAATGACAGGCTTTTCTTGTGGAAAAGCCTGAAGACTTACATCATTGTCACAGTAAGAAAATGTTTGATAAGTTGCAACAGAAAAACAGCTTTTAAAAGTTAGATTTAAGTCTAAAAAAACCCAAACAACTTAGAGTACAACATTTATAATTTTTCCCCCATTTAGAATAATAAGGTGCATTAATGCTGATGCCCACAGCCTAACTCAGAGAAAATCACTGGAAGTAGTACTGAAATTTGCTTTTATACAATGAAAAGCTACTAGGAAATACTACAGTGATTGAAAAAATAATTTCCTACAGTACTATCTGAAAGTGAAGAACTGGTACCTGTTAAGTTAGTCTTCAGAGCATTGTCAAATAGTCAATGAAATACAGCACTCCCCAGAAAGTATTTAAAACTCAAAGGGACTGGACACTTATTTCTGAGTCAAAACAGACATACATAAGTAACAAACTCATCAGGTATGGATTTGCTCATTCCCAGAGCAATTTTTTGCAAGTGAAATAACATACAGCCAAAAGGAAAAGCTAAGAGGAAAAAACGACTTCACAATAACTTATGGTACCTGCAACATCTTCTGGATCCGTTACAACAATATGTGCATTCAACTCCTGTAACTTATGATGCAAGTCTTCTAACTTCTTATTTGATTTTTTCAAGATGTTGTCTACATATGCCAAGTTCTTTTTATCCGTTGTGACCTTCCTGAGGTTCTCTGCTCCCTCCTTGATTTTAAGTTCCTTCCTTATTTCCCGCTTAATTTGGTCCTTTACTTCATCCAGGTTCTGCTGTACCGTTGTATCTGAGAAGTCCAACTTCTGGCCAGTGCTCACATTCTCAGAGGCTAGAAGACTTTTGGCATCCCCCTAGAAAGAAAAACAGTAATATAACTACCAGGAAACACTGTTTCTTGACAACGCATGCTGCAATCTTAAAATAACTAGGCTTTAGGCCTCTGTACACTAAACACTTACTTTGTAAGACCATTTACTAACCATGGGTCTACACTCATGTTGCCCTAAAGCAGCAATCTCACAAGGCATTTCATGTTAACTGGAGTTACATTTTACAGCAGATTTATTTTAAATTTAGTGACATCTTTACTATGCCTATTTTTAACAGAAAGTGATTTAAATACTTCTGGATTTGTCATGGCTGTTTGCCTGGCGGTTACATGCCTCAGAGCTAATGACTCACATTTGTAATTTTCTAGATTTAATTGTGTGTTTTAATAGACCAAATGGATATAGGAAATAAGACTAACTTCTAACAATTATTAAATCTGATTAATTTTTAAACATTCTTTATAATATATTCACTTTAAAGACTGAAAAAATGTTTTTTAAAAAAACCCTACTGATGTTTGCAAAAGCTTAAAGAAATACTGTAATCTTTATAAAGATTTCTCAAGATCTTACTGGAAAAGAAATCTGCTAGATTTTAATTTTAAAATCCCCCAAGTAAAGCCTTTTGCTTGAAAAAAATAATAATTAAAGTATCTTATTTCTTGTGCAAGCAAGCCAGGCTGAAATGAAACAAATAATAAAAAAAAGTTGGAGTGATGAGGAGTTGGTGTAGTAAGGGAGCAAGGGATGAAAAGTGTTTAGACCACCAGTATAGTCATGTTTGTGCCTAGTATGTATCATTAAGAAGTAGGATCACAAAGGACATATTACAGAACCTACATCAATGAAGTACAAATACAATTACATATATAATCACACTCTTGTATTATACCTATACCCTGTATACACTAGGTCCTACCCAAGATGTCTTAGCTCGAGCTAAGCAAGTGAAGATCCAAGAAGAGATCTCCTGAACTTAGAATCTGATCCAGCTGTAATTCAGGATGCATTTAGTAAATGTGTGGCCTGACCTGTATGTAACTACTCAAAAGACGAAAAAATTTTCTTAAACGCAATTAAGAAAACTGCCTAGACTTCTGAAATATTTGGGTGAACAAGAAGGTATGTGAAGTGATGGTTAAAAATTTGAAACTTCTGGGTGACATTAGGAGTCATCACTATTTGCTGTTGGAAACTCCAACAACAATACAGGAGAGGATACAGTAGAAGAAAACATCCAGAAAGGAGTTCAAGAAGCACAGCATTGGTCTAATAAACAGTAAGAACATGCCAGAACATTTGGTCTCTGGATGTAGTCCACAGTGACTTGTTTGGTTTCAAAAGACTTTGGGGAATTGAGGATCATGAAGGTTGTTCCTGGGTCATACATGTCAACAAAAAATGCTAGTCAGACTACTTCAATCTGTGCACATTCCAGTGATGCTGTCTTCCATAGCAAGATCCAATCTACTAGTCCTGACCTATAAATTTACAAGTTTCCTAAATAATCTTTAAACCTCTCTTATTAACATTTCCATATAGCTGGTACTTTTAGTGTAAAAACGGAGTTACTCAAAATTTCTTAATTATTAAAAGCAGTCAAAATCGCCATCTTGCCACAGAATTTATCTATTGATGAATAAGGCAACTAAGAAGCAATTTAGCAATGACCAAATGTAAGAAACGAAAAGGCCCAAAATAAATAAATAAATGCAACTTTCAAGTGCACTTGTGATTCCTGTAGGTATTTTTCTGTTAGTGCAGATTAAATCATTTACTATGCCTACATAGAGAGGCTATTAATAGTTGTACTGGGAAATACATTACATTGTTTCCATATATAGGCATATAAAAAGAGTAAACTTTAAAAAAATAATAATCAATAGTGATAAGCAAGTAGTACAAAGGTTCATACACATAATGAAGGAAACCACCAGGTGTTGAGTTTTGTAAACAAGTGAAGCAAAAAATTAACCCATATAGCAACTGTACAGCAAACTATTTAAGCAAATAGTATACCCAAAATTAGATTCAGAACTTTGATTTCCCTGTTTGTCAAAACAAAAAATTAGGATGTAAAAAAAGAGCTTCAATATTAGTATACTACTATTTAGCCTTAAAAAAACCAGGATCAAAACAGTGCTTGCAACTTTTTTAAAGTGTGTATTTATAAACATAAGCCTTAGCACTTGTCCTGCAAGCTTTCTAAAAATAAACTCATTATCTACCCCCATCAAAGCATGATATTACACTTTTCGAAGTTGACAAGAGAAAGACAGATCATAAATGTATAAAAAAAAAAATCACAACTAAACAACTCCAAAACCAAAAGAATACCTTCATTCCATATTCCAACAGCACCTGAAGTACACTAAAATTATGTCAAGAATGTACAATTCTCAAACAGAACAATGTAATTAAAATATAAATAATTCAGAAATATTCCTGACTAGGGTTTCCCAAAGTGACTTCAGTTAACTGTTTATCTATCGAATAATGTATTTTGTTACAGGAGAGGTTTTTATCCCTCCTACAAGACCTACAGGTCACCTGTTGAAGGTATGCTATGTTCCTGCACAAAAAGGTTTTTGAAGCCCTAGTTCCAGATATACAGTCTCTAACAAGTCTTCAAGTAAATTAAATCTCCCTGATCATTAGTAATTTGCATTTCAAATTTCCAGTAATTAAATTAAAAGTTCTCTTCAGCTTGAGCAGTCTTAGCAGCATCTTTGTCCCTGGACTTAAGAGGTTCAAGAGAAAGTCTTCAACCTGCTTCTGAGACAGCTAATAGTTCAATAGTGTGGACACTGAGAATGGAAGCTGGACACATTGCCTATGCATTTTAAGCATTCCTCTTTAAACCTACCCAAAAGCCACAGGTGATACTCTTTCTCTCTCTCTTGTCATCCAGAGTTAATTATACTTTTGAACTAACTATCCTGTCACCTAGTTACCTAGGTGTCTCACTAGGCACAAAGGTCACCGTGAAACAGTCTTCCAAGGTGGCAACCATGCACTCAGTGACCCTGAAGGTCCCTGTGAATGCAGAGCAAGAACATGTTCTGCAAGTGAAGTGGCTCTGCTCCTGTGCTGACATATTTTGCTGCTGGGATGCAAGGAAGCTTTGAGACAGATCCTCATGCTGGAGAGCTGAGCAGCCTCACCAACATTCCATTTTTAAATAAAGATAATGGCAAGATGGACTCAACTGGGTAAAATGTCTAATAGTTAAGTAAGAGAAGTGAGGTAGGATTTTGTTCCTTTAGAAAAGCATCTCCCAAAATGCCGAACTCAACCTGCTTTTAAACTGAGAGTGACTTTAAACACAGGATATTCCAGCTTTTTTTGCTGACAACATTTTACAAGTCTTTTGTTAGAGTTGAACATCCTTTCAAAAAATTCTTTTTCCCATTTGGATAAGCTCCCTCCCAGGCTGAGCCTCACATCCATTAGGATTTAGGCATTCCATCCCCTCAACCTGAAAATTAAGTATGTCAAAAGAAATAACAGCTGGACGCAGGGGCCAGGTCCTTTCCTTTGCACTGTTCAAGCAGGCAGGGTGCAATGACAGAAGAATCTAATTGGAGGTCTGTGACTAGTGGAGTCCCTCAGGGGTCAGTCCTGGGACCATTTTCATCAATGACCTGGATGAGGGAACATCAGGATGATGGAGCCAGGCTTTTTTCAGTGACGTCCAGTGATAGGACAAGGAACAAATGGTGCAAACTGGTGCATAGGAGGTTCCACGTAAACATCAGAAAAAACTTCTTTACTGTGAGAGTGACAGAGCCCTGGAACAGGCTGCCCAGAGAGGTCATGGAGTCTCACATTAAAAACCCGCCTGGACGCATTCCTGTGTGATGTGCTCTAGGTGATCCTGCTCTGGCTGGGGGGTTGGACTACATGATCTTTCGAGGTCCCTTCCAACCCCTTAGATTCTGTGATTCTGTGCAACTGTTCGTGATTTCTATGCCAAGAAACCATCAATGGATTTTGCACAGCCACTTCCTTTACTCTCCCTCCCAGAATCATGTAACTTAAGATAGCTTAAGAGTGGAAATTATCTGAAGCAGATAATGACTAAATCACTCCTGCTGGAAAAACAGAGAACAGGCCTCATGGCTTTAAAATCTAAGACAAAAGAATGGGCAGCCAGTTATTAATTCTCAGTTTCTTTTTTAATTCTGGTAGTGTTTTGACTGCTGGTTAAAAGCAAGGAGCCATTCTTTGTTGGGTGGTCCCAGGACTGAACCACTCAGTATCACATCACTCTCCCTCTTGTCCTACAGCCACTGCTGCTGGCCTAGTTCTGTGCCACAGCAGCAGAGGAGGGCAGCCGGCACCACATGCTGCTCCTAACGACCTGCTTCTGGTCTGCACCAAAAGCAATTAGAGGCCATGGTGCATACTTCTTTGCAATGGGAAAATACATGTTTATGAGCCAGACTGGAGATTTCTGAAACGTTTCAGCATGTAATGAAACTGAAGCTATGTTTACTACATTAAACTATTAAGGACCACAAATCAGATACTACTGTTAAAAAAAAAAAATATGAAAAAGAAACCCATATATATAGCCTTCCTACAGCAATGGCCTAATGACTCAACCTCACTGATTGTTGGCTTAAAGACTACCTATTTACTCAGATTAATTCAAAGTGCCAGCCTTCAATTTCTGTACTCCTGGGAAATGTTTTAAGTATAGCTGCTGAAAATAATGGATAGTGATCTGAGCATGTCTTTTAATAATACACAGAGTCTATTCTGACTACTGTGATAAAAGAGAGTAGCAATGTTGTTTATGAAAAACCATGGGGGCCCCATACTTTTTCCTCAGGTCAACTCTAAACCAAATAATCAGTGTAGCAGGTGCCTTGCCAAACTGCATTTACCACACAATTTCCCATTTCAGAATAAAACACCTAAATTGCTGAATAATGGAAACGGTACTGCAGAATAGAAGACAGTAACATGAAGCTGAACATCAGAGGACTTGCTTAAGCAGTGTAAACTGA